GAGGGAAAAGAGGAGACGATTTGACGGAGGCGGACGGTGAGAGAGCGCGCGGGCTCTTAACTCAGCTCTCTCTCTCTCTTTCTCCCAGTCAGCTCCGATCGTTGCCAGAGATTTAACGCCGTTCGTTGTGACGCGTTACGCGGCTCACGCGACGGAGACGAAAGAGAGATAGAGAGAGGGCAGTTTGTTTGTACTTTTTCATGTTCACCGTGAGAAGGAGATCGATGAGGACGTCATTTCGCTGCTGTTTTTTTATTTGGGCGCAAACTCTCCCTCTCTCTCTCTCCTTCTCGCAATTGCAAAACCGCGATCGCGACTTCGACAACGATCGGGTGACTCTCGCCCGCTCCGGTTTCTTGAAAACCGTACGAAACGTCAGCGGTGCGGCTGTCGTCCGCGAACGAAGGATGCGGCGGCTCCCGTTCGCTAATGGAAATACTCTGCCTCGATGAACGAGCGCGCGCGACGCACGCACACTCGCGCGCATTTATACGTAAACACACACTTACTCGACTGACAAGCGCACACATTCACGGGGCTACACCTTCCGCGGTACGCCGCAAGGATGGAGAGGGGAGAAGGTGCACGTGCGCGGCGCGCAGCATCCGTGTGGACCAAAATGGCTGGCGGCGCGCGTGCCGATTGGCCGAGCGGTGACGGCGGGGGCGTGGAGTACGCGCGCTCGGCGGCCGTTAATCGGTCGACGATCAAAATAAAGATCTCTCGTTGTAGGCGAACGGTCGGCGAGAGAGAGAGAGAGAGAGAGAGAGGGGAGGGGGACGCACATTGCGCTCGTATGCGCTTTTAGTAGGGCGAGATCGCGATAGGGGGATCCCAACCGCGATCGGTGGGGGCGAAGGACTTTTTTATGGATCTCACGTTGTCTCCGTCTCGCGCGCGCGTGTGTACGCGCGTATATCGGCGAGACGAGTGTCACGCGAGCGCGCGTGCACGCTCGACGATCGTCATTAAGGGAGATGCTAATTGGTGGCAAAGCGAGGTCAGGCCAAAAGCCCGCGCACCGTGTCCAGGGACTTTGCGTGTTTTTGTTCCGCTTTCTCTCTCTCTCTCTCTGGCGATGTGTGCGCGCGCGCACGACTATGTTTGGCGGAAGTCCCGGAAATTCCAGATCTCGCGAACGCTTGATTTTGCGCATCCGCTATTGACATCGACGTTTGAGAGGTAGAACAGTCGGAGCTCGTGGCGCGAGAGAGAATACGTGCGACTTTGTTGGGGATGTTCCGCGGAGACGGCGATGTATTAGGGTAAATAAGTCACGAGAATGAGCGAGTGAATTATCAAACTTAACTTACTTCTTCCCTTTCGGGTCAGGATTATTTTTTTAAACTTCAGATGGCTAGGCATTAATGACGCCGTGTGTACAGGATGTTGCAGTTGATGCAAAATTTGCTTCCATCCCCGCGTACAAATTACTGATAAAAATACGGGATAATATTGCGCGAGAAATTTAAAAATAATCAATCTTTTTGCAATTACTCGGCTTGCGACCATAAACGCCTGGGAACATTAACATTCTGTAAGTTGCTCTTTCGTTAAAATTTATTCAAGAGATCGATCGAACCGTAATATCTGGTTCCCTATTTCCCTCAAAAATTCAATTTTCTATGCCGTGAGAAGACAACCGACATTGAAGGAGACTATTCTTCTTAGCTTGTCCTCTAATAGCTGTACGCGGAAAAGTACATCATGTTTTCGAGACAGTCTATGCAGGCACGTTTTACACGAGAATAAACGTGACCCTTTCTGTGCGACGCGACGGTCTGGAGCCAAGCAGTATACATATATCGTAACTTTCTTTGCACAATCTCGCTACTGGAGTACACGTATTCCTTCTCTTTCGCCGAATATATGTATGGCTCTACGTCGACAGAATATCGTATATATTTGCACGCGATATGTTAGAGAAACGGGCAAGCTCACTTCTCATCTAGTTCGATATTATGTTTCGCTCGTTCTCAACCGGCTAATTAGAAGCTGCTGGAAAGTGGCCAATGAATGAAAATGTGTAAAGAGAAAATTTTAACGTTAAATTATTTAAAATTGAATTTATTAAAAAAAAAACAAATTGGAAACGCTCGAAATTGTTTCGGAATGGCCAGTAGATAAGACTTTTAATTTATAATGAAACATATTTTCCTTGTGAATTGGGAACGATCGGCAAGTGATAATACAAGAAAAGAGAACGTACTAAATGTAAGCTTTTGAGGAAACGAATGGAGGTTTGATCTATAAATAAACTGAAAATGCAGCGGAGGATAGTCTAAAATTCTCCAAGAGTTTCTCGCAACTAAACTTGAAAATGCATGGCACTTCAGTTGAAGATTATTGGTTATTAATCGAAATCTTGTAAAATAATAACGTTTGTCTGTCCTACTATAAAACTGAATGCATTTTGTTTGGGAAAAATAATACGATAAGATTTTCGAGGCTGGATCTTGGAGATAGCAAAAGGTTGACTTTTCGACACAAATTTTCAAACATGAACCCGAAAGGATCACGTTGAAACTGCCGGTTGTGATCGTCCATTATGAGAAGGTTTATATACAATGTACCTTCTCTTCACCCATCGGTCTCGTAGGCAGAAACGGAGGCCAATTGTTGTTTGTTTGTATTTACTACGAGAGAGAGAGCACTCCGGCTGCGCCTAGAAGAGCTGCATCGTCGCTATGAAAAGGGGGAGGCTGGGGATGCACGGGCATATCGTATTCTCCATTCTGTAGCGTATACAGTGCGTGCGGTTGGGGGCACGAGACGTTACCAGCCTGGAAATTGAATGTCACTCTGGAAAGAAACGTCACAATATTCCGCGTGTCGGCTGACGGGAGCTGTTTTGTAGCTTCTCCTCTCGCATCTCGTCCCGCTATTGTGCGCGCTTCGTCGCGCGACAGTTTTTACAACGAAAACAGTAATAGCGATCGAAGACGGAAAGTTTGAGAGTCTTTCGAGTAAGCCGATTGAATTTTTCAATTTTATTTTGCGCACTCATGATCGCGTATATCGTGACGTGCTTTATCGCGCCTCGCGATAAAGCACGTCGACAATTGCGCCTGTTAACATTTAAATTTATATGAAAAATATATTTGAATCTATAAAAAAAACATTTGATCTACATATAAAAAGAACGAATTAACGTATCTGCCCAAATAATAAATTTAAATTAAAATAATTTTAAATAATTAATACAAGTATTTATGTTCAACAGAAATGTATGGAGCCATTTGTGGCGTCGTCTCAATTACTTCTTTCTATCTATCCTGTATTTTAATTGAATTTTATATAAAACATTTAAATTGGTATAAAAAAATATTTGATTTGCATAAAAGGAACCAAGTAACTTATCTGCCCAAAGAATAAATTTAAATTAAAATCATTTTAAATAATTAACACAAGTATTTATGTTTAATAAAGATGTAGAGCTTTTTGTGGCGTTGTTGCACTTGAATTACTTCTATCCCGTATTTTAATTGAATTTCACAATTATGTCATGCACATCTAGTAATTGCTATTATTTTAAACTCGAAAATATTATTAGAAATTATACATCGAATTGACTGTTTAAAAACCGAACATCCCGTGACCTGTGGCGGCCTTGTCTAATAATATCGGCGACGGGGCGGATCGGCGTGCATCTCATTGACCGAGAAATCCTTTCGGCATCTGCCAAAGAGAATCGCGATTGGCGTGTCCCTCCGAAAAACGTCCCCGCGCAAATCCGACGGCCGAATGTTTGACAGAATAATTTTCACGTTAGCGGGATGCATTATGCGTCTTTATGCTAGCGCCTGACCGTGGCGCATTGTCGCCGAAATAAGCCGTATCCCATACGACAGCTCCCTGGTCTTTTATGCCCGTTTCGCATATATACAACGACTGCCCGGAAACCTTGACCGTATAGTAGCTGCGATCCAAAGCTGGAAATTTGTCTTCGACCTGCGTGCAGGCCCGCAGCGAGAGCCCGGGCGGTGCGGGCCAGGGGCGCACAATTCCGGGATGGGAGGCTCTTTAAAGCCATAAAAATATAAAAGAGATGTAAAATAAAAAGTCATAATAATATTTTCAGAAGCTGTACACAAATCGTAACCGATTCTTTTTATGTGACAGCTAAAACACACATATCTACAGCGCATACCAGAGAAAGCTGAAGAATCGTCTACAATAGATGACGTAAGTCTGGCGTAAGAAGTAAGAGTAGGAGTGAAGAAATGAATCATTTCCATTTCTTACTCCCACTTGAGCTCCGACGCGTACTCTTGGCGAATTAGAGCGCGGTTCGACCAGTGCTGCAAATATTTTAAAAAATTATGCCTGTACTTTAGCTTTCACACTGAAAGGTAAAGTTTATGGGTTGCTTACTTCCAATGTAGACGGTCCTTAAGAGAAAAGAGAAAATCAAAATGAATTTTGCAATCGTGGTCAGAAAGGTTGTTTGACGTTTTTGATAAATTTCGGAAATACAGTCAATCATGTGAGAGATTATAGCTTTTGCTCACGGATATGTGCAGTAACGCATTATTGGAGCAAAGGAATGGTACGTGCGAATATTTATGCAACGATACATACGAATATTCTGAACTAGTTCTGGATTCGATACATTATCTTTTGCTTTCGGTATAGGCTTGTTTTTCTCTTCCGATACATTCCTCCGGTCGCTCGATCTCAATAAATATAAAAATAATAATTGATACGAAGGATTACCGGAGGCGGGGCATAACCAAGCGCCGCTTTCGAGAGATACTTGGCGTAAAAGGGGGGCGATGCGACAACGTCAACCACCGGGAGGCTGCGCGATCGGGCCTCTCAGGTCTGTCACTCGACACCAAATCAGACAGAATCTGTCAAAAATCTGTCACCCGGCCGACAATGGCGAGCCGGGTCCTCAGGTCGGGATTTTACCCAACGTTGAAATCAGACCGGATAGAAAGGGGAACGGCGAGGGAGGGGGCGGGCGGAGGGTTCCCCGAAACTCGCGCATCGGTATGTAAGTAGATGGGCCTCTGGCCGCCTATATTTGACACCTTTCAGTCCAATAAAATAAAACCGCTCCGCAGTGGAATGTGGTCGCCGCCTCGAGACAGAAGCGTCGCTTCTCCTCGCTGGGGAACGGTGGAATGTTCCCGCGGAATCGGTCGATCGGGATTTCCTTCGTCCGCGAGTCGGCGATCGCCGCTGATAAGCGATCCTCCCTATCGCCGTCCCGAATTCGACAAGTCCGCCCCGCGAGTCACGTCTTGAGAAACGGGAAAAGTCTCCTTGTCCAACGTGCGACTCTGGCACGCTCTGGTATCCCCGATCAATCCATCGCGGATTTTAAAGAGAGACTCGACGAATGACTCGACAAAAACCCCCGCAGCATTTACATTCTCTAATCCGATAGGCATCGTTCCTCCAGATGTTTCAGATGCCTGGGACTTGTTTGTATTGAGATGCGTGGGGCAGATATATAATCTAGTCAATTTGACACCCTCATCGACGTTCTAATGGGTGCTTTCAACTCCGGACCGGCCAGTTGGATGCAGTTATCTCCCGGCAAATGCGTCCGCTTGTCTGTCGATCGCTGTCCCCGGACAATTTATGTCGTTAAGGATTTATTGATTGAAGCTTTCTTCCTTGGACGGTTTACGGAAATCTCTCTCGAAACATCTTTGTATCAATGTTAATATATTGACAGCTTGGAGTGGCCTATAAATTCACTCGATGGAAGCTTCATATCTCGATAGAATATTGTTCTTTTTAACTACTAATGTACTCGATATGTAGTATTATTATAGAGATCATAGAGCTGGTAATGAAGCGATTTTCCGAACGTTTATGCGCATCCACATTGTGTCCGCGCGTGCGGGCGTGTGTTTTAATAAAAAGTCTTGTGAGGTCACGGAGGACAAATAAGGGTGGGATAAAATATACACGTTTCATTCAAGATTTCAGTTCTTCTTTCTCTGGATTAGTTACCAAAGCTGTCGGCACCGTATGCAACGATACTTCCATGTATTTTTTGGGTGGCATAAATCTGAAAATGACGAAAATATGAATAAGAATACAGCAACGCACATAAGATAAATGCGTAAATAATAACGCGATAAAAATACTCGAAGTTGATTCCAAAGGTCAAACTTATGTGACGTCTACGATTTGTTCAGGGCACAAAATCATCAAATGCCCACTACAAATTTGGAAGACAGAAAGACTACAGATTGCATACTGCAGGAACTGATATATTCGATATGTTGTGTCAGCATGCCAGCAGAAATACAACAACATCCTGCTTGGTTTCTGCCGACGATCTGTTGACAGCGTATGTTTTACAGGCACTGTTGCCAAAACAAAAGCCAGATACGGACACAGATGGCTATGGTTTTTTACCAATCTGCTAACATTTTGCTGACTGGGTTTGATTAAGAAATTTCAAAACAGTCTTAATGAAATTGTACACTTCGTAACGAAATACATACCTGGTTATGAACGGTGGGAAGTGATCTCGGTCAATGTCGCTTATATCAGGAGCGCCGCAGATGAAGCTGACTATCGTGCCGATGACCATCACGATCAGGGCCCCTACTAGAGTATAATACATGAAGGATATCCTGTATATGAAGAAAGGCTCGTCCACAGGCTCGATTTGCGTCGGATTCTGCGTGGTCGTCGTCACGGTCGTGCGATTGAACGGACCGGGCACGTTCAGGCAACCCTCCGTCGTGGAGGGCAGCGGCTCGTAATAGAGACTGCGATTGGCCATGTGCCATTGCGCGCCGACGATGATCCAAATCATCGTCACCATCGAGACCAGCCCGCCGACCACCGCCCCCTTGGTCGTCGCCCACGGCACCAGCATCCCCAGCGAGAACAGGCCCAGCATGGCACCGGCGGTGATACCGGTCACGGTCAGGGACAGCTGGAAGATGTCGCCGAGACGGTCCACGAGGAACACCATGCCCACGCACAGGATGCCTAGGAGTACCACCGTCACCTGGGGACACAAATCGTTTCTGGAACCACCGGGCGTGCTTCAAATTTCGGAACTCAACTGCAAGGGTTCCATAAACGTCGCGGAAGAAGAGAATCAATTAACCTTCGGTTGGCAGTTAACCGAATTGTTTCTATTCTTATTTGTTTGGCGAATCTCTCGCTTAACGACGCTTCGAGAATGGAGGAGCAAGGAGCCTCTTATTTTCCTCGCGGTTTCGGACCGCGATATATTACGCCTTTGTACCTTCATGATGTTGGCGGCTTTAGTCTCTTTGTCATCGCTCTCTGGCATCCAGCGATCGATGAAATCCTCGTAAATCGTGCCGGTGACTGTATTCAACCCGGCGCTCATCGTCGAGAGACCGGCGCTCACCAGACCGGCGAGAAAGAGGCCAGGAAGTCCCGGAACGTTCGCGGCTACGTCCAGCACGTAATACGGCAATATCTTGTCGCTCCTTGCTACCACCTAAAAACAAGCTAATTCTCTTCACTGAAACCTTGAGGAAAGGCGACTCGTTTAATCCTCGTGATGGCTGAACTTTTTAATCTTACTTTAATTACAGGATTTATTGCATTTTTATGATGTGAGTATCGTTGAAGGAGACAAGATATAAGGAACCTCTAAAGAAAAGGAGTTTAATGATACGATAAATCTAATTAAGAAAGTTTACTTTTAAATAAGTGCGGAACAAGTTCCACCACAGTTTTAATCACTCGCGCGCTGTTCCAGAGTTGAAAAAGACATCGATGACATTAACATCTTGGGAAGAATAATTTTGAAAAAATATATTGTCAACTACAGCGGACTGTTCTTTCGAAATGAAAACACAATTCCTTCCTTAAACTCTTTATATTATCAAAAGTAGCGAAGGTACTTGTGATGCTCGAACTTTTATAAACCGTCTCTAACTAAACTTGCAGTAAAATTGCACGTGCAATCTTTCGGCGACTCGATTCTAGTACAGTCATCTGCTTATATGTATATATATATATTTCTTTTTAACTGGAGTAATATTATACTTATACCTTCGCCATATACCTTTCAAAACTTCGTTTGATGTCCCTACAAGTCTTACTTACTTAGCGTGCTTGGAAGTACAATAAAGGCTAATAATAAACAACGAAGCCAAAACTTACGTGCGCAGTTATGGGATCGCATTTGTGATATCTAGCGTACATCGTGAGGCCGGTGAAAACGGAAATCAGTTTTATAAACACTAAGCCCACAGCCAGAAACCATATTGACCTGCGAGGTACGTGTGAAACGCTGTTTATTCTTATTCTCTTTTTATTTCGACTTTCTCTCTTCAACATAGGCAATATTGCAATTTATTGATTTATTTAACTCTTTGGGATTAGCCCTTGACTCACTTTTATCACACGGTGGAATACTTTGTTTCAAATTTCTATATATTATTCCACACCAGGAGACTTTTCTTGTTTCTCGTTTGATAAGTAAATTATTTTATTACTAACAGCAAGTTGTCTAACATTTAAATGACTGTCACTTATACGAGCGATTTCAAAGAGCACATATTTTGCACTTACTTCTGTGCTTCCTTAATATTAGGCACTGCCAGAAATCTTTGCATAGAAACCTGGCTGATGCCCAACCCTGCCATCCATGTCATTACCATTCCAACTGACATGCCCCAAAACGAATTCCTGGCGAAAGGACTGGGATCCATACTGGTATGAAAGAGAATCGAGAATATTAGTCAATTTATTATAAGAAATATTCATAAAATATTAATAATTGCAGAATATTTATTTATATAGTTAGATTGTAATTAAACTGAAATCAAAGTTGTGAGCACAATCGTGATTTTTAATTTTACTGCAGTGAATAACGTATTACTGACAATACGCCGCTGTAAAAATTTTAACGGAGGAGCATACGATGGCAACACGAAAAGAATTAACGCGCGTTAAATACAACACTCGTGCGAGCAATATTTGATATCTAAAAGGTTGAAATACAGTGCAATTTAATATCTACAAAAGCGGAAACGCATGCGTCCTCTCGAGATCGGTTTGCAATCGATGCACCTCGATTAAATAATTCTTGATAAAAACACTGCTGTAGAGATTCGCGTAAATTCGCGATATTTCTTGGTTTGTTTATTTTTAACATATTCACGTCCAAGCGTATGTTAGGTGATTTTTCATTTACGCTGGATTAAATAATTTTGTATTAAGGAGAATAATACAATATTCAATTTTAAGTGTTGAATTTATAGTATTGAGTGGTGCAAAGATATGATATTTATTTCACTTGACAGTCACAGTTGATTGACAAAACGTAAATAACAAACCAGTGAACTCTATATTATACTGGAATACCATGTTAATAAAATGACCAGAGACAGACAAATTACTATATATCATTTCTGTCTCTTTCTTATTATTAGTAATTTTGACGAACCCTCTCCCTCCCCATATCTCATTAATAAATTATATAACTAATTTGTAAATAAGTTGTAAAAAAATACACCTGTTACTCTTACTTCCAAAACACTATTCTACCACCCTTCTCGGCTATCCTCCAGGTCTCACCGACGCCGCCCACAGCGATCGTTCCCAGTATCAAAACGGCAATGAGACTTCCGACAGTCACCGTCATCTGAACCGTATCCGCCCATACGACAGCCTTCAGACCCCCCTATATAAGATGTATATTTTTTTCAAAGAGAGATTACTCGCACAATAAAGGTATCAGTGTCAGTCACGACGCGACGTGCACAGAATCAAACGGTCGGGGAGCCGGTGAAACGTAAACCCGGGGGGAGAGATCGCGGCACAATTGCATAATGATGTTACAATGCAGCAGTGCGATGTGTGTATTTTATAAATCGTTATCGATACAAATTTTATTCGTACATCAAGAGACCAAGTCGCGTAATGTTACTATTTTCACAATATTGATTTTACCGCTCGGTACCCGATAAAAAATTTTCTTACATTGTGTGTATGTATATAAGTCTTTAGAATTCTATGTAATCCATTGGGAAAATTTACTTTAAATGAAATTAAAGTTTGTAAAAGTACTCGTTCAAATCTAAGAGTTTACTTAAAGAAGTTAAAAATTTACTTAAGAAATTTTAGAGTGATTTTGGACACTTAAAGTAATTTTTAGATAGCCAAGTCTGTCGAAGTTCCCGCTAGAAGGCCGCGCGGCATAGTATTTTCTCTGAGGGGCATATTTTATATATAATTTTATATAATTCTATATATGTATATATTAATACATGCTTATGCATGAAAAATTGTTTATCGGGTATCTGTAAATTGCATAAATGACAATCAATCGCACAGCTGTTCGAGTTATCCAAGTTCTCTGTAATTCTCTGGAAAAAAGTGATGGTCGGCAAATGTTAGTGTTGCGTATATAACTAACATGTATAACAAGCGTACCAGAAGCGTTTGCTCTAGGTTCTTTATCACCAATCCCCGGGAATATCGGAGTTATCTCCAGAGCGAGGTGATGCATGACCTAAGCACATTGCACACAGACATTACTATCTAGCGTACTCTTATTCAAACAGGCCTCAAGACGAGGACAAATAATGATCATTTTCGTCATCGTTTTTGTGTATTTTATTCGAGTGGCGTGGCGATGCAGTTACTTTGTTGGCGCGATACCGCGTCGTAAATAATCCAGCAAAACCGCGAGACTGATAGGACTGATAAGACGCAGTCGGCAGTTCTGTAAATTCCTCTCTAAATAATCGTTTATTTTATTCAGTAACCGTCACTGTACGACGTTTCATCTGACTAAACTGATGTGAGTGACATTACTCGATAACGTCATGGCCTCAAGATGATGCGTGCAAACACGCGTCGGTTCCATCTCGGCCTCGCGGTACCTTTTGACTATCTAGACGTGATTCTAGGATTTTTACGATCTCGGGAAATCCACTGTTTCAATACGCGGCACGTGCGAATGTTAATAAACGATAACGCCAGTGCTCTCCGTTTGAACGGCGAATCGCGGAGCGATTTTAACATACATTGAATGTAAGAAAAAAATATCAATTCTCTAGTTGACCCACATGGGAACTTGTAATTAAGAATTGTATTTGGATTGACACGCACTAATAACCGCGTTTGACTCTCGCGGCCTAAATCCTTTTTATTTCAAGAATTCAGTCATTTGTTAATTTTATATTAAAAAAAAGTAATCTTGCAAAAATATGGAACGCTTCCTTTCTCAAAGAGTTGAAAGAGCAATGCAGCTTTTACGATCAACGCTCATTGTGAAAATTGGAGACTTATAAAGATAATTATAATCGAACCGTCTGTGTATCAAGACTTACGATGGTCGTGTAGAAGATGCACACCATGCATATTACTGGCGCGACATAATGCAGATTCATCCCAGTCGCTTGCGAGAAGGCCAACGCCGGCACGTAGATTATCAGCGGTACGTAGATGACCAGCGCGAGGGTGTAGAGGAAGGACGCTAATTGCCGGACCGGCCTGGCGAATCTAATTTCCAGATACTCGAAAGTGCTCGTCAGCTGCAGCTTGTAAAACACTGGCAGGTACACGCATACGATTATGAAGCAGCTGATGAAAGATGTAAAAATGCACGCTGCGTATTGAGTTCCATACTGGTACACCTCGGAGGGGACGCCGAGCAAAGACACCCCCGAGATGTGACTGAAATCAATTTGGTCTCCGTTAGAAATGGGCTTTTTCCTTGATATTATTAACCTTTAAACTGCCGGTGTTTTTTCATTTGTTAAGAGAGGTAAAAGATTGCGCATTGAAAAAAGTGAAGAAATGACTGCCAAGTCACCTCGCTATCAGGCTCATGCTAATCGGAAGAAAGGACATGGTCTTGCCGCCGAGCAAGTATTCGGTGGTGTTGTCCTGCTTCGTGCTGAAGAAACCGAAGTAGATGCCGATGAGAACGCTGACGCCCAGCAGACCGCCGAATAGGGTGTAATCGGTCCATCCGAAAGTGAGCTCTTTCAGCTCGTGGCCGGCGAAAAACGGCTCCGTGCCATTGACGATCATCCTGTATTCACTAGTGTGAAAAGATTCGCGTTAAGGGACCATTTCAGGGAATATCCGCGATGCGTTTCGGGGATATTCTCAGTTACACGCGTAAACGGCATAGCTGCTAGATTATCTCGCGTTTAAAGTTCTACGTGGAAAACTCGTTGCAAAGGTATAAGGGGTGAAGCTAAGCGTTATTAATCTTCCACGTGAATGCAAATTAAACTGAGTTATTAGACTAGGAAATACTCAGCTTAAATAGCGCTACTCGTAATTACTTAACTTGAAAAATTTCTCTTTCACTTATCTTCCGTTTATTCAACTAAATTATATTTCGCGCAGCTTACTGAGAAAGTATAGCAAGTTGACACAGAATTATCAGGCTACAAAGACCCGAAAATGGTATCTGCTCCAATTATTTGAAATCAATTGTTTCTGTATTTTGTATTCGAATGGAAGTACGAACTTGGTGTTAGATGATCCCATCCTAAATTCTGTGCGAGTCAAAATTTTGTTGCGAATGCTATTGTCAAAATTATACATACGTATTTCGGTTACTTTCCTCTTGTTGCTCAGCGATCTGAGTTCCGCATTAGTGGTGTCTGGAGTAACGCACTGTGCCGACAATAAAGCGACTGAATTTCGGAAAAGTGTCGTTTACGCGTCCACGATCTAATCATGTATGTGTCTAATAATAAAGCAGCCTCGCTGGAATTTGGAAAAGTACCGAACGAAATCAGCATACCCACTGGCAATGATGACGTGCAATGTGATGCTATATGTTAGGCCGACATTCAGCGTGGTGTCAGCCTGATTTACGACATCGCAGATAAAACTCTGCGATTCGTAAATAGACGAGAATCCTTAAATAGGCGTCTTTACGCTGCACTCTGAGCCAAAATTAATTTCCTCGCCGATATCGTTGGTTGCTTGTTTGCTAAAAATTTTCACGGACTCTCGGTCGTATATCCTTCGCGATAACACACTGATGTGTCCCATAGAACGCTTGCACATACGATTTCTGTCGAATATGAGAGATACCGTGGAAAGAAACATATTTTATTATCACGATTGGACATTCTCATTGAAAATAATATCGGTTTGAGTTAGTTTGATTAGTATATTCATCAACAAAATAATATTACTTTACTCAAGAAAATCATTCGTTAGGTGGTTCCTAATAGCTTATTAAATTAAATTAAAAGCGTACATTTCTCCAAGTATTTATTCAATATTAAAGAGTAGATAATTTTAAACTAGCAAATTTTTATTTTTCAAAGTAATCATAGAAGGGGCTCAGAGCATTATTTTTATTTTTATTTCCTATAAAATATTTACTAACGTGTCATTTTCACAGCGAAGAAAATTGGATTTCTTATTTAACAAAAACAATTTACTTCACTTAATAAAAGTATCTCATAAAATCTTTATTTAAATGTAGAAAATGTAATGATCTAAACTAATTTACTTAATATAATACATAGATTTACTTGAAATTTGATATTTTAATTTAAAGGTGGGCTGGTCAATTATATAAACGCAATCCATCGTGCTTTCGACTGCAGTGTATCTCAACGGTACTTGGTTTGGTATCGGAGGGTTGTATAGCGACTAAAGCTAAATAAGATTTGAACAATTAAAAAAATAAATAGTAAATGAGGTATGTATTATCGGGAAGATAAGAAAGTAAACCTATTTAGTTAAAAAAATTCCTTGTTAATGCAGCTACAACATTTTATATCGATTAACTTTTATAAAAATATAAAGATTTAAGAAAAGCAAGAATAATGATTTAACACGTATACTAGAATATACATGTTTTATTATTATATATTTTTGCCTATACAAGGCGATTCTTAAAACAGATATAATGTTACGTAAGAATCACGCTCTGTATAGAATTGTAACAACGTTTATTTGCCATATGCTAATGTACGCCATACAGCAACCATTCAGTTAACTGTTGCAACTTTTGCTGTTTCTCATTTATATTACACTCGCCTAATAATGTTTCTAAAACTTGCATTTCATCAGACTCAAAGTCCTTCATGGGATTCAAAGGAGTGATCGTCATGCTTGGTAGCGTAACGTCATAGTAAAGAAAAATCTAGAAGATGGAAAATGTATGTAATAATTGTCCATGTCGCAATCGTTAACGACATAAATCAATTCACTTGTACATGTATAGAATAGAAACCTTGTTGTTGAAGGTATTGTACACCAGGCTAGGACTCAAAGTCCCCGGAATCACGTTGTAATTTCCTGTGCAGAAAGCCCTGACCGGTTCCTCAAATTGGAAGCGCACGCTATGCCGTTGCTGATCCAAAATGTAGGTCTGACCATCCCAGGCACAGGCGATTATCTCGTCGGAATTGTCGCCTGTGACGTCCAGTCGACACAGAGCGAAGATCTGGTGATCTACTTGCATAGCCCTGAAAAAAAAGAGAACAATGTGATATATTGGCGAACGTAGATGTATTTAAACATTGCTACGCGTGATTGCTCACCATAAAATAATCTCATCCTGTACTAGCATAATGGTTCCATCAAGCGTTGCCAAGGCATAAGGTTTTCCCTTTGGAACACTTTCACTTTCACGGACTTTATTTAAATCCGTATCGACCTTTGCGATTCCCTCCTGTTGATTCGATTTATTGTTATTGCTGTTGTTGCTACTATTGCTATTATTCTCACTATTATTATTGTAGGAAAAATTTGTGAAAGATGACAACAATGTATCTTTCATTGTTTTACTATCGTATTGCCCGAGAATAACATTGCCACCGACGAAATTGCCGTCTATGTCATCAGTGCTCGAAGACTCGACGGGACTATAAAATCTCACTGGTCCTGAATTTTCCGCTGTAAAATCTCTACCGTATTGGCCGGCCATATCCAAACTATTTTTTCGAAACGCCGGTTGCGAGTAGTTGCGTTTAAACTCGAGCGATGCAGGTTTGAAGGTTTTCATATCCAGTTGGCTGTCATCTGTGAAACCTTGCTTCGACAACTTATCTTTGGGCACGTAACTAGATATTTTAGGTTCAATCGTCGAAATAAACGGCGTTATTCCCGGCTCTAAATCTCCGATAATTTCCGTTGAAATATTTTGATTACGCATCCTCGATATCCCTAAAGTCTGATAATCTACAGCCTCGCAGGAACTGCTCTTTGATTGACAATCTTCAGGGTTGCACTTAATTCGCATGAACGTACCACCGGGCTGTGCAACCAGTAGAGTTGGCGTACCATCGCCGGTATGCTAAACAAAAATTTGTGTTGTGTCAATGGCTATGTTCGGTAGAAAAAGCTGCTTTGCAACTGTTGTGAGAATTGTGAATTTTTTTGACTCTAAGAGCATACACCAATCAGATTCACAAATTTTACAATAGTCGCAAACCAACTGCCTTTGCTGAACGCAGTATTGTCTATAATGTCTACTTGTGTAACTGTTATATATTTTCACATGCATAATCGCGTCTATATACATAGACGCCATTCTTAATGGATTTCAATTTGACATACTTGCAACGTAACCGTGCCTATTTGATTAGTGCACTCCCATTTATTTAGGCCAACTAATTGTCCCGTCTCCAAGTCAGCGTTACTTGACCATCTGTAAGATCTCACAACACGATCTGTCAGACCAAGTATCATCTCATTAGCACCATCTTTATCGACATCAGCTATCAGGACTGTCTTTGTATTAGTTGGGATTCTTTGTACATGCACGCACTCCATTTTCCCAGAGAGTTCATTATTTTCATTAGTATTTTCAACATGTTCCATGCTTTGGGAATTTCCCGTATCTGCAATATTACACAAACATTGTACATCTCATGACAATTGTCCGAGTCTTTCGTTATTTCATCAAGTGTCTTCTTTCTTAGATCTACCGGCACTTGTTTTGAAGTTGTCTTGCTCGTTTGTATCCTTTCCAACATGTTGGCCCGCGGGCGCATTAGGATTGTTGGGATTGACAGATCTGGGACTGTAAAATATATGGGTCCATCCGTCGCCGCAGATGACCACAAGCGCGTTACGTCCGTAATTAAAGATATCTCCAATTGCTACGCTAGTTACGAGACCGAGGCCAGTGATTTTCTGCCATAATTCTGTACCCTGTTACACAAGCACACACGTTGTCTACGGCAGAGCTTGGTATCTTTTTTTAAGATATAGATATAGTTACAGATATCTTTCTCTAGAAAAATAATTCAGTGCATCTTGTGTATATAAAGCGAAGAAATTGAAGAAATGTAATTGTATCTGTATCTCTTCTTTGAATTCATTGAAAATGTATCTTTATCTTTGATTTAAAAAAAGCCAAACAAGATACCAAGCTCTAATTTACAATTTCAAACGGCATAACTTTAAGCGGTCACTAACGTATTTACCTTGAAGATGTAAAGTTCTCCCTCAGCGGTGCCAACAACTAATTCATTATCACCATCGTTATCGACATCTCCCACAGTTAAACCGTGCCTGCGCGCAGTAATTTTTATTTTAAACGATTTATACACTCCAAGCTGAAACGCTTAAACCTACCTGCATACAGTGCCAGGTAATTCCCATTGCAATCTCTTTACAAAGCTAACAGCTCTCATGATGAGGCTTTGTAGGATGTAACTGTTGCCATCGACTCGGCGGCCAAACTATATGAGTAGCTTTCGCTGTCACCAAACCCAGAGATATCGGCCCGAAGGTATTGGAGTCCAGAGAACGTCCAATGTGGTCCCCTTCCAGCCAGCAGTGTCCCTCCGGCACCTGCAATCGTAAGATTGAAAGTAACTAATAGATCTTCAGCTTCTTCAGCCTTAAGGAATAACAATACCGAGTCGATATAGTAGTCTGTTATAGCTCTGAGCACTATTATGTACTGTTATGTACCCAATAATTACTTCTACATATTGTATCCATACTTGAAGAGCACTGATCTTGTAGCCGTGCGTGCCCACGATATCCCCGGCGAGCCCAATGACTCTCTTGATCAGCTTCTGACTCGGCTCCTTGGGAGATATAACGCACACTATGTCGCCGCGCCGTACGTTCTGCCTCCGGACGGCCCAGCGATTCAGGAAGACGTAATCGGAACAGCGTAGATCTGGATTCAGCGTGGGCTGCATAGAGATCCCGTCCACCCTCGCGACATACCCGACCGTGTTGTAGAAAGTGATGACGACCGGACCGCTTATTAAGAAGCCATGTAAAAAACGTGAGAGTCCCATTTATCAGATCCTCGCGAGGCGGAGCATGCGAGGTGCTCTCCCTTCGATGCGCTCGGTCCAACGGCGTGAAGGGTCGAGCATCACTCTCGCGTTACCTACGACTTCACTTTAGCTATTTCGCGTGTCACCACAAGCGTGACATAACATTTGGTACGATGGCAACGGTGAGATGATCATCATCATCGATGACGACTTCTCTGACGTATAGTTCCTTTTTGCTCGTGTCTTTAACGTGCCATCGACCGAACTTTTATCTTCCACCCCTTTCGAGACTGGAATTGTTTATTCCCTGATGGTTTATCACTTCAATGATTATATAATCCGCCCAATTTCTTTATTCAAGTTCCAGAGCTTCTGTGATGTACCAAGAACCTTTCGTATAGGTATAGGTTACGTGTGCGAGATGCCGTATATTGCAGAGTCGAGCCTGTTTTTTGTCGAAAGAACGTTCAAAATTTTAAATCAAAATATCTACGTGCGTGGGGACGATTCTTTCTATTGTTCTGAGAGCAATATGAGAAGAAGGAAAAGTAAGATGAGACATGTGAGGTGTTTAAATGTGTACATGTTGTTTTACCCAGTTTTATCTGTATGAGCAGCGAAGCAAGACTAACGGAATCAAATCAAGTATACTTAAAAGACATTTACATTTGACATAATAAAGGAAAATTCTTCGTTAATTTACGAGCAAATGCGATTTAAAAAATAAAAATACTCGTATAATTATAAAATTAAAGCGTGGTAAAATTTCTACATTTATTCTTCAAGTAAAAGAAACACTTATTTTTAATATTCTACTTTTTTAAGTAATACTAAAAATTAGCTGTATATATTTTTAAAACACATTAATGAGAATTTAAAACATAATATGTTCTATGAGAATAGAAATATTTTTTAAATCTCGTTTTATCATATATTTTCTTTTAAATTTTCATGTCTTTACATGTTCTCTTTCGTATTCTCAGCAGTTTTGTATGAGAGAATTTTATTGCTTATGCTTATGTGATAAACACAATAGCGTCTTGCATGCAAGTAGCAATAATACGGATTTGGAAATATATATTAAGATTATTCATTCTTTCAAATAACAATATAACATATCATTTGCACTCAAAACACTTTATCTCTCGTACAGATTGCTTTGTCTCTAGAACTTATCTACGTAGCGTGTTTTCTAATAATAAATATAAATACTATGTATATATATTGAGTGTTTCATCATCTTCCATAAATACTTCCACTTATAAGCTTATTTGGGTATAAGCCAAAGGGGTCTAACTAAGATTAAATAGATGTTTCGGAATAATGTTGAAATAACAAAAATGCGACAGGTTTACATATTAAAAACCGAACGACATTAAATCCTGTCTCTTTAGTAACGTTCTAACATTGCTCATGCTTTTAACATGTGATAGTATTACGAAAACAGTAACATTTTCATGCAATATAAAATATAGTTATATCAAGAACGTTACTCATATCTGTGTAATATCTACTTAATATAGATCAACTATACCTTTACATGATTTATAACAAATTCCCGCAATTTTTATTCAATCCTTTGTGTTTTGTTTCTTTCACTGCTTTACCGTATTGACTCTTATGTAAAAGTAATTAAAATTACAAACTTATTTGATGAAACTATATATATATTCTAATATAAAACGAGTATGTATCCCGTTCTAAATTGTTGCTTAGAAACTATTAATAATCATATATAATAAAATAGTGTTAATGAAATCTATTGTGATAAAATAAATTTCTATATATATATATTTTTTAAATAAATATATTTTAATTTACATTTACAAACTGAGGCCAGAATTATAGAAATTGTAAAGCATTTATGGAGAGCATTCTGTCTCACAATAAATACACAAGTTGGAAAGGACGTATTACAGAATTTAATATGAAAATTAAAAATATAAAACACAAAAATGCTGTAATATGATATAAAATTAAACATTTAACAGAATAATGATTAGTACACAGTGTTGCCAGTGATGGTACAATTGTACCAGATTTGGTACTTTCTTATGACATTGTGTGTAATACGTTGATGCCACAATACCTAATTTGGTACTAATAGCGTCAACGTGGGTACATTTGATACTTCTTACTTTGATATTATGATTCTTAAGTCTTGCGTCCACAATGCTAAAAATTGGCCCGAGATCTGGATCCGAGAAATATGAAGCCAATCAACTTGTAGCTTTTACGGAAAAGCTGCAAGTTTATATATGTATAACGTATACTCGGCGATGTTTTCTGTCGTTTGTTTTCACGTATTTTACATTTTTTCTAACTGCAACTGTGAATATATAAATACAGGTGTCTGATAATCTGTACATACGATATATGTATACGTATGTACGTTTTGTAAAATTGAGCACGAAAGTTTCATCCAACAATAATAAATGTTTAAATTATTAATTTAAAAAATAATTATATACAAAATTAGCAAGTAAAATTAGCATGTGGTAATATTTGGTACATTTTTACCGAATCTGGTACAATTTTAGCATTTAGTTGGTACAGAAATTATTTTTGTCTTAGCAACACTGTTAGTACACGAAGTAAAAGTTTACGAAAGTAAACCCTATTTGTACAGAAAAATTTTTGCTTTCGTGAAAATTGTATCAGTGCTTGCCAATCACCGAATTCAACATGCGTGTCATATCATACTACGATTTGACATATTCATAACTCTTTCTATTATTTTTATCTACCGGGCATTCCTAAAACACATTTCATAAATTTCTAACTACGAGTAGTAACGTATTGTAGCTCGACATATCTATGCCATCATGGCATTGTAACGTGGCACAGACAGCACTGCCTCTTTCTTTTGGCCCCTGTGATTAATAAATTGATAATCTATAAAATGTGAAATATAATGATTAAAAATAAAAATGTAATGCATAAATTTTAGGTATCTGGCAGTGCTTAACCAACAAGTTTATGTATCTTCATATTGTGAGAGTATTATACCAGCTTTCTTACATCTTATGATAATCATAGTTATTTTCATTATAATAAAAGGACTTATTAAAGATTGGTAAACACTGATCCAGCTGAAGAAACAGAATTACTTTTAAGTCTTTTCACTCTTAACTGGCTTCTTTTATTTTTATTTTTTTCTATGTCTTTTCTAAGTTTTTAAGTCACTTTCTTGTCATCATCATCATCATCATCTTCTTCTTCGTCTTCTTCTTCCTCCTCCTCCTCCTCTTCGTCTCCTTCTTCTTCCTCCTCTTCGTCATCTTCTTCTTCCTCTTCTTCTTCTTCTTCTTCTTCTTCTTCTTCTTCTCCAAGAACTTTTTTTGTGTTGACTCCTTCATAGTCATTGTATCCTTTCAGTTCTTCTCTTTTTCCAAGTTCTCCGTCTTTTTTATTGTATCCATACAATTCTTCCTCTTCACCTTCCTCCACCTCCTCCTCTTCCTCCTCCTCTTCTTCTTGCTCTTTTTTTCCTTCTTCCTCATCCTCCTCTTCTTCACTTTCCTCTTCCTCTACTTCACTATTTTCCTTATCTTCCTCATTCTTTTGAAATATTTCGTTTTTTTTATCTTTTACATCCCTAATTTCCGCTTGGATGTCCAGAATCTCTTTTCCCTTTCTATCTAGATCTTCAGCCTCCGAATCCTACATGTTAAATATGATTGTTTACAGAATTGTTTTTTAAATTATAAAGCAAAATAATTCCACATGAGAAATAGATTACTTATTAAATAAAATAAAGGATGAGTCATAGTTTTTTATCGAATTGAATCTATTTTAAACTTGACAATAACAAAACAATCGAACATTTTAATTATTTAATCTTTGGGTACAAAAAAGTTTTTCAGTTGCAGTGTGAAAATACTTTTTTAATAAAATAAATAAAAATAAACTACTTCGCAAAATATTTCTTTCCTGACGGTTTTATCCTTAAATACTGAGAATAATTTGTAAATTATAATAAACTTGTAATCATATATTTAATAAATGTATTGTATTTTATTATATATACATGTTTTAAATGTCGCATCAGTAGAAAAATGTCATGAAACGTCAGGCACACACATTATTAAATTAACATTTTCCTTTAATCTTTTCTGCTGTCAATTGCAAAGAAATGATTCGATTAAATTCTGTGACTCATTTTATATAATCGCCAAATTCTTAACGTCAATATTAAGTGGCATAAAATAACGGTATGTAATACTTTAAATATAATAAAATATATCACTGTTTGTATAGTTGTAGTGATTAATATGTTAATGTGAATGTAGGTATAATTAATGCTATAGTGTTGTTTCTTGCAAACGGCAATTTGCATAACATATCATCTAATTAGCATTATGTATAAGAATTCATAAACTTGTCAAAAGTTACAAAATAAAATTAAAAACAAATTCACTCTGTTTAGTCATATAAATTTGTGTACACGTTAAACAATATTACATAAATGTATATGTTCATTTAAACAAAATATAAATTGTCTCTGAAATACATTGTCAAGCTGCAAAGCACACACTATTCAAGTTTGGCAATCTATTTCAGAAGCACTTGGTATTCTTGACAGAACTGAAATTGGTATTAACAAGCCTGTGTATTTTATATTAAAATTAAGATATTAGCAAAACATAAAAAGTATTGAGTTGTTCGAAAAGTTCATGAGGTTCTTTGGGATGGCGTTAAAACGTATATCTATGTTGTGCGATCTATGCTATATTTAACCTATCCATACTCTGAAAAAAAAACATTCTGAAAGGCGTCATTTTAGCGCGTCGTTAAAAAAAGCATTTGCAAACGCTTGACTATGTGAATCGCTACGATACTTGGATGCCTCACGATTTGACCGAAGAATGAATCGTATTCCCATCTGCGATTCGTTTCTCAAATAAACCATTTTTTAAACGAATGATTACGGGCGATGAAAACTGGATCGTATAGAACAAAGTAGAGAAACAAGTAAAAGGTTACGCAAACAAGATGAAGCATCATTTTAACCATTCCGAAAGTTGGTTTGCATTCGAAGAAAGTCATGCTGTGCATCTGATGGGACTGGAGAAACGTCATTTATTTTGAGCTCCTTCCACAAGACGAAAGACTTAACTTGGACAAATACTGTGTCCAATTAGACCGTCCGAAGGCAGCAATCGACGAGAAGCGTCCCGAATTGATCAGTCGGAAAGATGTCATCTTCCACCAGGATTATGCCAGACCTCAGGTCTCTTTACAGACATACTCTTTAAGCTGGTATTACATTTATCGTACGACAAATTTTTTAAGCATGTTGATTGGCTGCAAGATAGAACATTTCTAGATACTCAAGAACTCTTTTATTCCGCAACAAATCAATACGTTTGAAAATTTTGTCGTACGACAAATGTAATACAGCTTTACTCGTAAAAAATTATTGCAGCTTGGATGGAATGTTCTATCCGCCGTATTCATCCAACCTAGCACTATCCAATTTTGAAGTCTATAAAATTCTTTGAAGGATAAGAAATGTACATCATTGGAAAGCTACAAAAACCAGCAGTTTCTGCAGTATATCGCTCAGAAAATTAGTGACATTTGGAAAAATGGAATCGGGAAGCTTCCTCAAAAGATGGCAAATCGTAGTGAAGTAAAACAGTATATAGTTGATTAAATATAGGTACATACGAATAAGTAATGTCTTCAAATTTTACTTAAAAATTTAACCGTACAAACTTTTCGAACAACCCATACAAGGCACTAGTTATTAATATTTCGAACAAATCACAGAGAATAATGGGAATAGAAATAATAAACAGTGAAATCAGCGCAGCATTCATACCCATACATGTAATAGCCAAGAAACCATTCTTTGCACTTAGTTCTGCATTTAGTTCCTGTGATTTGTGATCTCTATATTAAGTAACCTATACAGAAGTTATAGGCAAACAATTAAATGAATGAAAGAATCACCAAATAAAACAAGGCTCCGCAGATTCATTTGATTCTGTTGGTAATTCTAATATTTCCTTACAGCTGGAATCTGGTCGAGGCTGATGAGAGAGAGAGTCATTTTGCCTGAGAGAACAACTGGAGCGTCGTCGTCGTCTTCTGACTTTTCAGCTTGAGTTTCCGAATCGGTTACGAGCAATTCACATTGCGGCGGAAGTGCACCTTCTAAATATATAGGTGTTGGCGGAGTTTTTTCCCTTTCGACATTACTGAAAAAAAATTCAATAAAATACTTAGAAAATACTAGTAATATGAAATGAAAAAAATTGGAAAAAATAAAAGAAAGAAAATCAAGTACCTTGGTGTAGGAATAATGGGAGTGGTGGGTCTGCTACATTTCTGTCCACTTTCACAACTAGCTGTCATTTCCATACCCATGACTTTAACTGTTGGCGACTGTTCTGCTAACTCTTCACCTTCCCTACTATGTAATTCCTGGTCTGCAGTGTCCTCCTATAAATTTAATTCTTAATATGCTACTGATTCTATACTTTTACTTCTTATATGCTGATTTTTTACGTGTCTTTTAAACAAAAAATATACCGTAATAATATCAAAGCTATTTTGCGGATTAAGTCGACAAGAGCTATTCTATATGTACAATTTTTAATATGACAAAAAACAAAACCATTTAGAATTAAAAAAATATGTTAACAATCCTACTTCTATTTAAAAAAAAACTTAATATAATTATATATACAAGTCACAAAAGAGGTCATACAAATCCATATATATATATATATATATATGTGTGTATTTATGTAAATTTCTGACATAGTACACATTTTCTGATATACTACATCAACAAGATATAAGATAAGCGGATATCATGCAAGGCACACAATTAGCACTTGTAATTGAGAAGCTATAGGAGGAGCAATTATCGCTTCGCTAACTTATATTTCAACAATATTTAGCATCGAGAGAAGTCATGTATGTCTTCACTTATGTGAAAGATAAATTGATAATAGCATTCTGCAAAATATTGTTACTGTAGACTCATGTCACAATGATACTATCGTATATAAGCCTAAGGAAACATTGACTGTGATAAATTCATCACTGGTGAAACTAGTGCACTAAAAATAGAAGGTGTTCCACAAACTCTTGGTTACTCTTGTTAGAAATATTTTCTGAGGCAAGGGATGTACCTTAGAACCGCGATCGACCCCTGCCAGACCGTTGGACTTTGGAGACCCATCTACTACTCAAAATGTAAAATATACAACGTGAATTCTGTTGCTGAATGCATTTCTCTGACTTAAATGTGTCGTACCGAATATTGCACTCGACTAGTACATCAGTATGAATCTCATATAAATTATAAACGTTTAAACCAACAATTTGTAATGTCGCAACAGTTATCCGCAAGCATTCGACATTTGAAGAAGCCAAATATTGAAGATAAGTTCTTACACTAAATGTACAATATGTTTTTAATGTACATTGGATGGGTCAAGCTTGTAACGCAATCAGAACACAGCGACGTGCACATTTCTAACGACTAGTAAACTGAAACTGGTGAATGGCATCAAAATCAATTTGATAAACCTTGATTTCTGGCTGTGAGCTCGAGTTATGCATTACTGAACGTGATATGTTGCCCATCTGGACAACGATTCTTTCCATGGCTGCTTCCGTCTCGACCAAACGCTGTCTCAGTTGATCTATCTCTATGTCTCCTGCCGCTTCTTGTGTTCCAGCATGTAGAACATTACCAAACGTGTTCAGAATATAAGTACGAAATACTTGCACACTTTTATTCAGAATCTTGCAATGTATATATCCGCGTGTATAAGTACGTGTGTGTTCTAATTGTGCAAACCTTGCATCATGCAACACCACTTTAAAGAGTCTCTGTTCTCAGATACTCTAGGAAACATATATCTTAATTCCAAATATCTTTCCGAAAGAAATAGCTCCTCAGAAAAAAAGAACCATTGCGTTGATGATAACGTAAATGAAATGTGGTCTGTAAAACTAGGAATATATCCGGAGAGGCACTTACGATCGTTTAATTCCTCGATACTTGGGGCGGTCCGGTGCGGGGAGTCCTTTTCTCTCGGATAATGCAGGGTACCTCCAGTCATTGCAGTAGCGAGAGCTTCTGGACTGAATACCATTTTCCGAAATTCCTTTTCGGCAGCCGCTCCCGGATATTCCGAGATAATCTCGCTGTCGGAATTTTTCTTCAAGACCTGTTGAGCATAAATCATCGGGACTCGATTGCGTTCTTTGCGACACGAGTTGTACTACAGACTCGTGCGCATACCTTAATGATGGTGTACACGAAAAACAAGACTATTCCTATCGTATACAGTGGCATGATGACCCCCATTGTACCGTTTCCTTTGGGTGCTGGAACAACGTGGCCAGCACCGCCGAGAGGTGGCCTCATCTTTGGTATAACGTGGTCAGACCTGTCCACGATCTTCGGTACCATATGAGAGGTCGGTATGGCTCTTCCTCTCTCCCTCAGCGCAGGATGCATCCCGCCCGCGTGAGGGGGAGGACGACGCTCCTGTGGTAAAGCATCTGCATACAGAGAAGACTCGAGTCACGAAAATGCATTTACATCCACCGTCTTGGGAATTAGTAGAGGATCTCGCTCGTTAATTTCTCTATTCTGTAAATAATATTTTATTCAGAAATCAGGAGTAACGCTGTTACAAACGTATTGAGCTGGGCTTAATGAGATTCGGGGATAGAACCTTGGTTGAAAATCAGAATAAGGGGAACATAACGGGTCGTTAGTACGGACGTGTTTGAAGCTGACTGCTGGCCAGCCCTCCTGTCTGCCAAACATCACGCTTACTTTTCTGGCGTTCGGCCAAAGCAACATGGACAACTCGAATCTGCTTTCCATCCATATATACTTGATGATGCGATGCATTAAAGAGACACAATTCTTTCTTTATCTTATTATATAAGCGATTTACAAGCCATGTGGTCACCGCGTGCGGTCAAAGTGTATTAATATGGAATCGACTAATCTAAATGATAAAGCGTCACATCAAACCGTTGTGAAAACTGTCTCTCGGGGACACATTAGGTAAGCAAATTAGAGAGAGTTAATCTGAGCGGCGTGCTAGAACTTGATTGACTCATATCTTACTGTGCGGCATAAGGATATGATATCGGATAAGATGCGGTGTCCCTAACTGCGACAGCGGCACGCCGAAATTCACTTTGAGACAAAGGGAGCTATTGAACGACCTAATTTCCTCCAACACTTGCTTGTAGGTCTCGCCCAAGCGCTCTCGCTCAGCAAGGAAGGACGACAGGTCTATGCCGCATCTAGCTAGGACCTCCTCCCCACACAGGCTCGCGGTCTGCGGGGTCAGCTTGCTAAGCTTCAGCGCGTCTCTCACGCGCGGGTCAACCGGATGATGCCTCAATATGTTTTGACACATCTCCTGCATGATGTCCACCGCGGTGACATCGCTCTCAAATATCACATCGCAGCACACTGCGCAAATACGAACGGTCAGGCTCAGTCTACAACGAATCGTTGGTCGGAACTGTCGGAAGTCGGAGCTGTGTGTCAGTCCTTTGTCTTTCACCCAGAAAGAAAAATTATCGACGTGCAGTCCCGGCTTCTGACTAAGGCACTCCCTCGCATCAAATGTTTCCAAGTATTCTTCTTCCTCTTTCTTTCAGAAAAGATAGAAGCAGAAGAGAAAGGAAGCATTTGTAGCCGCCGCTTCACCACAACCCTTGTCACTCGTGTCCATCGCACTCAACAAAATGATGTTGCAACTGCGGCAACAATTTTCTAGGAACAACTGAGATATATGAATAACAGTGCTGTGACATCGCACATGTTTTAGAAATCTACCTGCGCCAGTACGATATCTTTTGAGTGCGACGAGAGCAACGATCTTACAAAGTAAAGCTATCCCTCTTCCCCCCCAGGTATTTTACTCAAATAATTTATTCTCGCCACTAATTCTATGGCTCCGGAATGCAAGTTGTTTATGTGTAAGAAGCACAATATTCTTTCCCCGACGCTGTCAACGGCCTTGGGGCGCGCAGAGCCTCTGGAAGCCTTACCCGAGCCGTCCGATGCGGAGTGATGTGGAGTGACAAATCCTATGAACATAGGGTGCAGAATTTTCGGCCACAGCACCGTGAAGCAGCCGAACACGATCGCGAGTATAAAAAAGGTCTTCCTCGGCCCGAAGTCCGTTATCTCGGCCATTTTCGCAGTGCGGTCCGTCGTTCGTAAAAATTTCGCGCTTCGAGAAAAGTTGGAGGTAAAACTAGGGAGAAGCGGATCGCCTCGTCCGCTCTCTCGCGTATGCACAGACGCCGCGAGGAAGCGGGGACAGCGGCGGCCACCGTCGCGGCGCAGTGTCGTCTGCTATTTTCGTCGCGTCGCCGCAGGACCGTGCCGAGAAGCGCCGTCAAGTTTTCTCGGGTCACAAAAAGGAAAAATTGGCGCAACGAGAGAGAGAAATCGAACGCAGAGTTCCTCAAGAGACATCGCGCTCTTCGCGTCTAGAAACATTCTATTTTGTAGCCATTAAAGTGCTGGTTGATTATCGTCGACAAATTTTTTCAGCGTCATTCGTTTGCGTAAAATAGAATATGTCTGTACGCAACGAGCATATTGTAGATCAGACTTTATTATCGATGGCAAGTCAACTTTTTTAAAAGGTCTTTGAAAAGATTCAGATATATTCAGAGAGCATTTACAAAAGTCCTTGATCCTTTTAGTATCGCGTCCAAGATTCGCCGCGCTCGAAAATGCACGCTCCTGTCGCGTCAAGAGCGCAATGAATCAAAGACAATGCTGATTTATTTTCGATCCGCGGTGCTTATTTATATCTCGGTGGATCGCGAAATTGCTGGGAATCGAGTGATAATCTCTTCTCGTCCGAGAGACGCAAGTAGGCAGAGCATACGAGTATTTCTTTTCAAATTTCGTTATGTACAATTAGAGCGTAGTCCCAGGATTAACAGGCAACGGTTGTTATTGGAATGAGCTGAAAGCTGTGCCAGAAATAGCATAGCCCTGGCAATGTCACAAGAGACCTTGCCCGATAGGTGGCTGGTGTAAATATGAAATTATATTTGCAGCGTGCGGGTTCTCTTTCTCTCTCTATCTCACACACGTCCCATTTATTTTAACAACACATTGGACCGAGTCGGTCAATAACAAAGTGAATTAAATACGGAGTTTCCTAAATGCACTCGAGCTGCAATTTCACTCTGGCCCGCCACGCTGAAACACACAAACAAGCAAGTATGTACATACACAAGATATCGAAGATGGAGTGATATATTACATAGATATTAATATTACATAAATATTAACACAAGAGAAGTTGGAAAATATAAAATGACCTAGTTAGCCCAATATTATGTTTGTCGTACGAGAAATGTAACACCAGCCATACATGAGGGAGAAACGCTTACGTTGATGTACTCCATTTCCTTCTGATCTATCGGTCGTCTCTGATATCGCAGCGGCAAGTGGATGTCCTCTATCGTCGGCAGCACGATCACCCGGGGGCCCGTTGCGCCGCCCGCGCTCTGCTGCATCTGCGCCGGCCCTGATCGCGCAGATGGCGCGGCCGTCATGCCCGTAACTATCAACCAACAATGGCGGATCAGGGATCTAGCGGCGAGGGACTACCGTCGCGGTTTCTTCGCGGGAAAAACGCTCGATCTCATTTACGTTACCTGCGCGATCGATGCCACCTGCGCGGAACTTGATCATCGGCACGTGCGGCTGGACCACCTGCGAAAACATGTTGTCAGTCTAACGCCAAACGGGGCAGAGTCCCGCGCCGCCGCGGGAACACGCTCGGCCGCGTAAATGACTCGGTTCCAGCGAGGATTCCGCAGTACTGACCTTCCAAGCCTTGCTTGCCATCATAGTTGATTTTTCCTGTAAGTAACGGCGCGATACAATACACCACGACGACTAATTTCGTCCGAAACGGAAAGCTTCTCCTCGACGCATCGCAACAGCGTGCAGATGGCGTTTTGGCCTACCTCTGCTGGCGAATACTTTTTTTCGTGTCGGCAGCCTCAACAGCATCGACATACGTATAGAATGGACAGCTGATCGCATTGGTGGGGGTGCCCGCACCGCGCACGAGCGGCACGAGTAGGGTGAATATAACCTTACCTTTTGTATAGATAAAGCGATACGATCGGCGCTCGCATTTAGGTATAGTTGGAGCCGACTATGGAAGCCGTTTTCTTCCTCATCTCTCTGGTCGAAATGACCAGGCTGTACGGCCAGGAGCAGCAAAAAGTATGTTCAATCTGGCCCAACGAAGGAAGACTGGATACGACGAGATAAGTGGGTAATATTTGCCACTCGTACAAAATAATGACATTTCTTTAATTTGTCCAAATTCGGGTGGGTTTTTCTTCCCCAAATCGAACGCGTTTTATAAATCGCCTCGCGGTTTTAATAAAAGACTTTTAGGTCTATTAAGTTGAAATATGGATAGGTAGGAAAATTGATAGGACTATGGGCAGGGAGGGACAGGGGGACATAACTCTTACACCGAAATTTTATCAACTTTTCGTGTCATTTTCTTATTTAGTTTATGCATTGTACCAATAGTTAAATCTCTCCTTGATTGAGCTACAGAGATAATAAATTTATTAACAATCTTTTTGGTCGCAATTGCATACATAGAATGAAATAAAACTTGAGAAATATTATTCGGATAATTATTTAAAAATTTGTGATAAATAGTTCTGCGTTATCAGCCCAAACGTCGACATTGGCTACGTAGTTCATGATCACGTTTTCAATGTCCACAGAGGGCGGTGTCGTGTTCAGGGATCACGTAAAACCGGGCCGTGGCAGCTCTCGGGTTTCTCTCGGCTAAACGTTAGCGTTTTCGGATCTTATTCGATGAGTATGATTTTATTTGCATTATCAATTTTATTTTAACTGAATTTAAAAGCTCTTTGTAGCTCCTAAACTATTGCTTTTAGGCGGTTGTGCCCATTGACACTCTTTATCAGAAAGGTGTGGGCAAAAACATATTTAAATTTCAACGAAATCCAACTGAAAGCCATTTTCCATATAAAATGTGCGGGGCCCTTTCAGATTTATTCTATTTACAATTGGGAAAGGGGTCTCCGTCCCCTTCGAAATAGTCCCCCTAACAATAAGACTTTGTGTAGCGATCCCAGCTATGCTTCAGCACGTATAGTACGGGGGGGGGGGGCTTTCAGCCATACTCTAAACGGTCTCTGGATTTCTTTTCTTGTATCAGACAGTGACCTGCTATACGACCTCGATCCATACTGTCTCGAAACCGAAATCCCTTTGTGAAACTTGGCACATCGGCCACCGAGATTTTCCAATTTCTTCGTCAGGGTTGAAACTATACAGTATTTCGAAAGGCATTTACGTTTAAAAGAGGGTTACCGCGCGGTACAAATCCCCGAAATGTTGAAACAATATGCACAAATCGTTGGCGAGGACGAAATGAAATTTCATGCGATCTTTACTAACGATTTCAACACCAGTTCGTTCCCCAGCTTCCAGATATCTTCCCCTGAAAATGCAATCGGCAGCCGGTTGTCCCGAACTCTCTCGCCAGATTTAGCCCCTCGTGACTTCTTTTGTTGCTGAACATGAAAATAGGGGCGAGATTTCAAGACGGTAGGAAAAATCGGGGCCGATTCGCAGGCGATGATGTTTGACACGTTACAAACCTATGCAGCACACAAATGTTGAATCAGCATTGCAACTTTCTGTGCTGTATGGGAATGGAGATCAATTTTAAATGAAATGAATCGGAAATTTTCAATACCGTCCTATATTGCTTTTTCTATATTATGACCTAATTAATAAAAAATAATTGTGGTCTACAAGAAGTGGAAAACTCGGCGGAGATATACAAGTATTTATGCCTTTTCGAGCGGAGGATAATGCCTCATGTTATCGATCAATATTGATGAGTAAAAAAATAAGATAGGAACTTTCTTGTGAGTGAAATTTTATGCACCGTAATATGCTGCCCTCTGTGGTTGGTACATAATATTCGAAACTTGCTGATGCAGCAGAAGAGGCAGAGAATACACATGTATATATACATATAATGATATGCAAATGATTATTCTTTGACGCAAAATTGTTGTGTTCTTATAAATGTTTATTCACTGCATATTCAGGATGTTATGCAACCATGATATATTTTGGGAATTTGACCCCGAAAACTTTTTCAAAGTGATTTGAAAATGAAGAAAATCTCCGAATAAATTAAACAAAGATAGCTGTTTAGCTGTTAATATTGATCTTTGCCGTAATTTATTATTTTTTTTTACGTAGAAATTTCTCTGTAAAATTTAAATTCCATTTCAAGAAGGAAAAGATAAACGAACACTTATATATATTTTATTTGATTAAACGCACAGAATTAATACATAAAAGACCTTTCTGCGAATAATTATCAGCGTAATGTGTATGTAAAAATAAGCATGATAAGGGAGGGAGAGAGAGAGAGAGAAGGGGGGGAGAGAAAAAATTCGATTGTCGTTTTTAAGCATTCTGTATTTCACGAAGAATCAAAAGGTTTTCACGGTTACAATTTCAATTGTTTCAATTTCTATGTACTTAGAATTTTAAAAAGCCAGTAGTTTTTCCTGCAATATCACGCCGGACGTGTTCGTTCCTGTGGTCGCATATACATATGTATAATTGGTAAACATATCCTGGCTTCTTTATTGTGGGAACCATCGTCGTCACGCACCGTGTCGGCACACACTTAAAATGTAACGTTTCATAGGCACAGCGTGTGTTTAATGAAACAACTCGTTCCTTTCTCGAGTCGTGCCTTCGTTACGTTAATGTTCTGTACACGAATCTTTGCACTTGTGCAAAAAGTCGAGCGGCATTGTAATAAATGGTCGGCTGTCTATCATGAGTTTGCCACGAAATGAAATCTCGCTCACATATAGTAATAATGATACAGTAAGCAGCAGAAATAACATTAGTATTGGTATATTCGCAGTGAATGTAATATTATAGGAAAGATGCCTCTGAAGCTAACAAAATATGATTTGGAAAAGAAAACGCCGCTGAAACCCAATGAAATGATTTCGAAAACAAAACCCGACTCCCGCGGTAAAAGCGTCCGAAAATTACAGGCTTTGCGCGGACCACGCCGTTCGCCGTTGAATTTTAATCGCGGGTCGTTCGGCGAATTTAAAATCGTTCCCCTCCAGCGAGGGTCTCGCGCGACGGCGGCCATCGGATTCGCTTCGAGTCTCGAAAGACCCGAAATTGGGACACGCCGTCCTCACGTTCGCGACGGTTTCGACGCGATACCGCCGGGACTTTCTCCCCGGAGCGCGGCAGCCGCATCATAGCCGCAGAAATTGTCTTCGGCCGCGTGATGACCGCGTGATGCAGGTGCGAAATAACGCGCGTCTCTCCGCGGAGTCTTCCCCCGTCTCTCCACCGCCTTTCGACAGGCCGGTCACGAGCGACCGGCACTAACAACAATTACAAATGCCCGGCTCGTAGTTGCCGCGAGAGCGCGAGGGGAATGCGAGAGAGCGCGACAGCTAGACGACACTCGTATTCGCGCGTCGCGATTGCGGGACCAGGGTGTCGCTTACCTCTTTATGGATCCGTGTTTGCCCGGGCTTGTCCTCGCGGTACGAGAGAACACTCGGCCCATTGTGGAGGGCCGCCGACGTGGCTGTAAATCGCCCGACAATATCGCCCCGGCGGTCCTTTCCTAGTCGAGAAGAACGTGGGAGAGGAAATGATTTCGGGGATGTAACGCTGCTTTATTCGCCGCGGGACGATTGTCTCAACGTACAAATTACCATTGCAGAAAAATCGCCGCTCAAGATGTTAACGTTTATCGCAAGCTGAAATCTCTCTTTCCACCCCGGCCGCGCCTTTGTCACTCCGACGGGTCGCTGCGTCCGCGACGACGTCCAGGACGACGTCTCGAGCGTAACAGTATTTAGGGCTCTCGGCGCTTTAATTTCGCTCAAGCGTAGAAACGCACGAGGGGAAGATAGCTGGAGTTGATATGGCGAGGAGCTTAACTCCGGTAACCTAGCTTTATGATGTCGAATAAAACTCATACAGCTAGATAACCAAAGAGAATGTCCTCTTCAAAGCAGGGACGAGATCTTCGATCGCGACCACTTGACCCTTTCATCAGCGGGATACCGCAGCGAGATCTGATCGCCGATACACCTTCAGGCTTGAGACATTGCGCCGAGTTCCCTCGCATTCCTACCAGATGCTCCAAACGTTGATTCTTCATCATTTTCCGAGCACATTGTAAACTAGAGGAAGATAAATAGAGGAGAGTTCCCTATTACGAGATAAGCTCCTGATACGAGACTGCGGGCTTTCTGTTAAATTAATACCATCGTCTGTTGGTTCGACCATGAATTTATTACCCTTGGAGTGAAATCTGTTTAGTGGAAAATTCATTGTTAGATCGTGTAGTCGTCGCGAAGAAAGATTTGTGCTTGAAAATCCGCTATCTCAGATTAGAAATCTATCTCATAACAGGGGACACTCCTCTATAATTTTCAGTCTACATAACAAGTACACGGAGATCGTTTTCTTTTAACATTTACCCTGAAAATCACGTAAATTTCCAACTCGAAATGCCACGTTGTCCCACAATTGCGTAATTCTCAGGGTAAATTTTAAGTGAAAATTCTCTCCTCCTTACAGTCGTGGATAGAAAGATAGCAACACTGTTTAATTAAAAAATGAGTTCTGCGAGAGAACTACTACCTTGTGCTACTACTATCTTTCAACTCCACTATACTACACTACTCATTGTACGTGGAAGTTGGATGATATCATAACTGTCCATTGTGCATAGGCGAAGGTAGTGGTTCTCATTCCGAATCTACATGTGCCTTCCTAAACTCGTTAAAAACCAGTATCGTGACTATTCTGTCCGACTGTACAGCGCAAAAATCGTCCCTTTCTCTGGTAATTTTTGAATAATATCGCACGATAAGGATATCAATGTGAATCGCACGCCGGCTCCGAGTTTCTCCTTTCCCAGTCGATGGGGGGATCGCGGTGGTCCCTCCGCTCTCCACGCAC